TGCCACAACACAAGCGACGCAGACGGTGCTAATCCTAGAACCTGGAAGAAACTGAAGCCAGTTCAAGCTGAAAAACAACAATTTCTGCACAGCTCACACTGCACTACTCAATGTTTATGGTGCCTTCAAGGACAGCTCTGTGAATGAAATCGGCGCGGGGGGGAAGGCAGTAGGAAAGCATCCTGAGCTCCTGGCAGCCAAATTGCTAAAACAAACGACCAAAAACCACAAACAGGTATTCACATACCCGGGGTCAATTATGAAGTTCCTCAACACTGTTACCTGTGCATATACAAGATTTAGTTCCGCCTTATACACATCAAATCTGAATTTCACGTATACACACCGCATTACCCTCTTGTTTATACACACAAGACACAGCACTGGAAATAGCATTTGCAAGAGTTTGGATGTGGAAACTCTGTAACCTGCAACAGGGCCTCAGGTCAAAGCTGTTCTGGCAAAACAGCTAAGAATATATTTACTTTTCATTAAAAAAGTCCCACCAAAGAACAACTGTGAGCCCAAAGACATCTCTTAGTCCTTATCTTTAAAACCTACGTGCAGCCAAAAGTCCCTGCCAGCAGAGTCTCTCTGGCAGTGCTGCCAACTGGCCGAGCAGAGAACCACCCTATAGTGGGACCAGCTGCTAATTCCATGGGTTTCCCTGCCCTTCCTGCCCCTTCCTTAGGGGATGGCTGTGGCCAGCAGATGCATCAGGAGTTCAACGCCTTCGCGATAAGGAACCTGCTGCCACTGACAGACTTCACTTCTATTACCTTGCATGCCTTTCAACAGAAGCAGTAAATCCACGGGTGACAGGGTCGATTTTCATCTGGGTAGTTAAAAGTTTGAGGCACGTGAGCACCAAAATGATCTTTGAATTTGTTTATTGGTCTTCAAGATCAGAATCTGAATGACTTTGAACTCTGGGATCTGAAGGACTTTGAGCTCCAGGATGTTGTTCAAGGTGCAAGAACAAGAAATTTAAGTACAATCAACACTTAGGAGTAAACACACAAAACATTCCCAGAGGTGATCTGTTTGTAACAAGCAAACAGAAAGGGTATTCCTTATATCAAATAAATTCTTGATCCCTTTCAGGAGAAAAAGAGGGGACAGCAGCTCAGCAAAACATTTCAGTGAAATGTAATTTCCAATATACAGACCAATATGGAAGATGTGGTCCTTGAAAGCTTCTTTCAGGAAGCTATTCTAAATTATGTCTTTCAAAAGCAGCCATAAAATCCAATGCAATATTGGAAACGCCCATTTCCAGCATAAAGAGCTAAGCAGATGCATACTGTGCATATATTAGGCCCAATTACTGTATCGCACATAATAATTAACACACAAAAGCAAAGATGCAAGGTCCCAGAGCCCATAAAAACCTAACTGGAATGGCAATTGGGAAAGCAGAAGCTGCTGTAATTCCTCCCGCTTGTGCCAGGGCACAGAGCTGGCTCCATGTTCTCTATTCCACCTTTTCACGATCTACATTTTACCTCAAGAAATGCTATTAATCCCCAACCCTGTAACAGAAAAAAGATGGCCATTATAAAAGCAGTTCCCTGAAAATAGCTACCATTTCACTAGAGTTACGAGAGGTAAACTGACCCACTGGTCTATTCTCAGCTTCTCAGACAATGGTTGTTCTTGTGCATAACCCACAGGGCTGTTACCCTGCCATGCCAGGCAGACCAGGCAGGTAATTAAGCATGGCAAACCATCAAATATTTCTAGCAGTAAAAGACCCTACTATTTCTTTCCCCCCTGTCTATCAATATAGCTATTCATAGCCACAGAGTCTGCTCTTCAAGGAGAGTGTTCCGGCTTCTCAGGTAGCTAAGCTAATACTCTCCAAGGAAAATAATATGTTCAGTATCCCACAAGTAAACATAACCAACATTACTCTCAGAATACTTTCTTTTTGATGCAAAGGAAGCTTCTGATTTGAAGACAGGAAAAAAAAGTGCTTCTCAGAGAAAGCCAGTATCAGGAAGGCATGAAAAAAGTAAAGCATGGAGATGGCTCAGTTAAGATGCAGAAAGCAGCGACTCAAGTGTTTTGTAACATGAGCAAGACCATGATGATCCTTCTATAAATCACATGTTTTCTCGAGAACCTTTAGCGCACATTTAAACTATCTTCAAATTAATAACTAATTAATAATAATTAAAATAACTAATTAATAATATTTAAAGTCTTTGAACTATGTAGACATGCACAGAATATCAATAAAACAGTTTTCTCCTAAACCACTTACTAGATAAGAGCTTGGAAATGATTTGTCAGCTATGAAAAATATTAGAACTCACAAAAACAGTCTGGCATTGCCAGGTTTAGGAAATAGGCTCTAAGAAATACACAAGCTGTTTTAGTAACAAGGCACAGTATGTTTTAACAATGAGGTTGAGGCATATATATGCATATATAATATATATATATGTATATATATAAACCTCTCCCACATTTTCTTTGGTCCTGCTAACCACTGTTACTCTCCTGCCCATCCAACATAGAGAAGAAACAGAGAAGACAATTTCCACATGTACGAAAATCAAAAAGGATTTTTTTTTTTTTAATCACAAGTCAACCAAGAAAATGAATAAAATGGAATAAAACTGGATAAACCTTGACAGGTCTGCAGAGCAATTGCTGCTGACAGTTTTCTGGATCAGGCTGATACCGTTACAAAGTCATCTCTCCAGTCAAGGTTGTAAAGATAAAACTCAAAGGCCTGCAAAGACTGAGTGAGGAGGTGGCTTCCATCAGCTACACCAGGAAGCCAGAAGTCTCAGAATACCTGCGGGGCCCGCTCAGGAGAAACGCGGCCTTTGCAGGGCTCGCATGCACGGCCACGTCACAGGGGTGTGCCCAGCTCCCCCCTGCATTCCCCGCTTCACTTCAGCACCGTGGGGGATCAACCACCGTCACACAGGCAAAATTGCTTCCAAAGACACTGGGGAACACACAGGTGGGAAAATAAAACTTTTTAACCTGCATGTTTGACCTGGGGAAAACTCATCCAGCATTAGCAGAGCTCAGTGGCGCTGCAGTAAGAAAATTGGTGAACTCTTGCCATGTGTTGGCACGTGGCAATGTTGTAGCAATGATGTTGAACGACAGCCGAATCAAGACTTCCATCCGCCCGCACAGGGTGCTGCAGTGTGTTAGAGAGCACTCCTCTAGCACAGCTTAACCTAAACAGGGCTATAAAGTTGCAGGGGGAGAATAATCCTGCTCAATGTGAGCTAAAGGTTCAGGCCTTGCCACTACTCTTCAAAGTGTCAGGAGAATTTGGAAGGAGAAAAGGAATGGAAAAGCCTTAGAAACGCATTCCTGAAGAATCCCACACTGTAAAGCACACTGAGAGCACAAGCCTCATGCATTAATTATGCTTAACCCTGGTGGACATCCAAGAATAGAAGGAGGGAAGCTCCTTGTGACTATCTTCTCTATCTATAGAGAAGTCACTAACAATCTGTTTCAGGTGCTTTCTGGTGCATAAATAAATTTGCCAGCTGCCCTGGAAGCCCTCTGAAAAAGGCACTAAATATGCATAAATCATTAACAAACCGAGCAACCTCATTCCTGGGTAACTAGGGAAGCATAAAAATAGCCTGTTCCATAGGTTGCCAGCCTTCTAGTCAGCAACACCACGCACGAGCGCACCGAGAACCACCGCAGCATCCATCTTCATGCTGCAGCAGATTCCCTTTGACAGACTTTGGGTTTTTACCTCAGCTACCACAGATCAGCAGCAGCAAAAAGTAAAAAGCTCCCGAGGACCCGACAGCATA